AAGACTGTAGTGGCGAGATATCTTTTAGGTGAAGGGTTGTAAATACATTTTTTTCCTTCAGTTGATTGTTCATGATTTTCTGTAGAAGTTTTCGATTTTTTTCTTTCAGCCTTCTTTTTCTCTTAATCTATTTTACTTATTTTAAATTTTTATTCATTTCTTTCTTTCATTCATCTTCTTAGGTTCATTGTTAGCTTCAATCGCACTACATCTAAAATCCGATTTCTTCACTTTTTTGTTAAGTGATGTACAATCTTATCTTCTATTTCTTTCTTCCGTGTTCAATTCTCATGTGTTAAATTTTCTAACTTCATTTATTTTACAGAAAACTTATCAGGTAGGTTATTTGTATAATTTTTGTTTTGTCAATTCATTTCTTTTTGTTCTTAATTTTTTGCACGTTTATTCTTCCCTATGAGTTTTTTATTCTCAACCTCATTTCTGACTTCGTCTTTTCTTTTTACAATATATTAGTTTTTTACTTGTAATTTCTTTTACATTTCGACAACATTTATATGACATTCAAAATTCTCTGTTAATGATGTTTCATTTTTTTTTCCCTTTCTTGCTTTAGGTCTATGTTTCTTAATGTGACTACTGCATTGGTTTCTTAGTTTTAACCTTTGTATCTGTCTAATACAAATAAGATGCGACTCAGGACTTGATTAAACAGTTTTCAATATTCATACGGCATCTCAAGTAACTATTGTATTGGTTGAAGATGATAAAAATGCAAATGTTCATGCTCATGATATTAATATCTACGGTCATTTTAGTGATTCACACAAGGTTCATTACTACTATGGTTGTTATGATCATTGACAATCTCTTTTGCTTTTCCCATATAGAGAATATGGTTGGCATGAAGGCATTGAGAAATGCAGAAGCAAATACTTTCAGCCTCGGCATCTGCTTGATTTAGTGGCTTTTCCTAGCACAATTACTTCTGCAACTAAAATTATCGAAAAAGAGATGAAGGTTTGTGTATATATTTTCTTTAAAAATTTTGTCTTTTGCTATATAATGGTAGTAAATGAATATACCATTTTTTTTCCTTTTTCATGATGTAGTGCTTAATGGAACAAAGAAACGTTATCAGGTCTCTTATCAAGAATACTATTAGTACAAATTCCAAATTAAGCCTTCTGGTAAGTCTTTATTGCTTCACACTGGTAGACTATTTCAACAGTTTGTTGTAGATATGTATGTTAAGATTAAAACTGTTAGGTTAGACTATTTTTGTAATATCCAAAAATAAATTTGTGTTGAACTATATCAAGGTATTGTGGATAGTGTTGAAAATGAGAAAACAAGAGGGTACAAAATGCAAGAAAATTTGTTCTACCACAATCCTTTACATGTGGGCTTAGAGATATGCTAAACAGATATATGGATGCAATGTCTATTGTGTAGCATTTTGAAAAATCAAACTTTTTTTTTACTATAACATGTAATCCTAATTGGTTAGAGATTAAGTAAGAACTAAAGCACAATGATGAAATTTAAAATCGATCAGATCAATTGCACGTATATTTCAAGCAAACATAGAAGAGTTAAAAACGATTTATACAAGAAAAATATCTTATGCCCTATTGTTGCACAAATATATATGATTGAATTTCAGAAAAGATGGCTCCCTCATGCGCATCTATTGTTGATTTTGAAATCTGGGGAAAATATTTGTTGTGTTGAAGAGGTTGATAGGATAGTGTGCTGCGAAATTTCTAACAAAAACAAATTCTCTCATTTTCATTCTGTTATTGTCAAATACAATATGCATGATTTTTGTGGAAACCTTAATCCTAAAAATGTATGTATGAAGACAAATAGATGTTGTAAAATAAATATCCTAGAGATTATTGTAACACTATTATATTTGGTGTTAACTCATACCCGTTGTATAAGTGTAGTAATAATGGAATCTCTGTTAAAGTTAGAGGCCAATTGTTGGGCAATAGATATGTTGTACCATACAATCATTATTTAAGTGCAAAATTTGATAGTTATATTAATGTTGAAATATGTTTTTCTATCAAAACTGTAAAATATTTGTACAAATACGTATACAAAGGACATGATCGTATTAATTTTTCCGTTAGTAAAGATGAAAAAGAAAAAGATATTGATGAAATATCTGCTTATCAATCTGCTAGATGAACATCTCCACCTGAGGCTATGTGGAGGATTTTTTCATTCAANTTTCTCAATTCGAACAAATGATACAGAGAAAGAAATTGACAAAATATCTACTTATCAACCTGCTAGATAAATATCTCCACCTAAAGTTATATGGAGAATTTTTTCTCTCAATTTGTCATAAATGTATCCTACTGTTTATTCTCTGCACCTTCATATTCAAAATTATCAAGTAAAATACGATGATTAAAAATTATTTATTTACTCTTATTGACAATGAAAATACGAGGAGAACAATGCTAACAATTTTTTTTCGAATGAATGAAGCAAATGAGTTTACTTGAACATTGTTGTATCAAGATTTTCCTCCACATTTTGTTTGGAATACAAATAAAAAGGTTTGGACTTGGAGAAAGAAAATAATTGTTATAGGACGAATTGTCGCAGCCAATCCTTCTAAAGGAGAACGATATTTCATCTGCATTCTTCTTAATCACATTCAAGGGCCAATATCATTTCAGGATTTATGAACTTCGAATGGGATAAATGTTACAACATATCCAGACAACCACTGTGAAGAATGTTAATCTGAAGCTATTATTTATGAAATGTCATTTTCTTTAAGAAGTCTATTTGCTACACTTCTTATGCTTCGCAACCCTGATCATCCAAAGTTATTGTGGGATAAATTCATAGCTTATATGATTGATGATTATGTACATGAAAATACACCTATGGAAGTTGCTAAACTACGGGCTCCACAAGACATTAGTTCTATTATAGAATCATTGGATAAAAACATAAATGGCTATGAAATAATACCTTTCAGTGTAAATATAGATGAGAATGAAAGG